CTTCTGCCTCTGTGGCAGGCACCAGCCTTCTTTGGCACCTTCCTTCTCTTTCTACTTTTGGGCATTATAGTTTGCAATACAAATAGTGAGAGACCATCATATTTGGTCCTTAGTCTACTTTCAGCACATATCTCCCTATCTCCCTCTCAAATGATCCCTCCATCCATCATTGACTTAATCCTGGTCAGCTGAGTACAAGGTTAGTGCCTCACCCACTCTGCTGTATATATAGTCTACTGCTTTCCTTTTTTTTTTTCTTTTGGCTTTTTGGGTCAGACCCAGTGATGCACAGGAGTTACTCCTGGCTCTGCACTCAGGAATTACTCCTGGAGGTGCTCAGGAGAACATATGGGATGCTGGGGATCGAACTCCGGTCAGCTGCATGCAAGGCAAATGTCCTACCCGCTGTACTATCACTCCAGCCCCTGCATTTTTTTTTTTTTTTTTTTGCTTTTTGGGTCACACCCGGTGATGCACAGGGTTTACTCCTGGCTCTGCACTCAGGAGTTACTCCTGGCGGTGCTCAGGGGACCATATGGGATGCTGGGAATCGAACCTGGGTCGGCTGCATGCAAGGCAAACGCCCTACCCGCTGTGCTATCTCTCCAGCCCCTGCTTTTCATTTTGAATGAACCTTCTTTTATCGTCAAATCTCCAGGAAGGATATGCTTTCTTTTTTTACATGTAATTTAAATAGATTTTTTTAAAAAATAATTATTTTTACTGTATCTTACTTAGATATTTTTACTGTATTTTAGCTGGTTAGTCAATAAGTAAAAATTTTATGGGGGGGGGAATTAATTTGAGAAAAGTAGTGCTTGCTTATTTTAATAATGTACTTTTGAAGCCATTACTATTTTATATTCCCACAAGTCATCAACATAATTATTCTTACAGCACTGAAATTTTTTCCTTTTGTGTCTATAGTTCACTTTGATCCCTTTGACACTTTTGTTTTTAATAAAAAGGCAGTTTAAATGAAAAGAGGCTTGGCCACACCACTGAAAGGCGGTACAGTTCAAACCTGTTTGGCTTACCTGGTCTACATTTGCATGCTTTAGAAGTATAGGAATGCCATAAAATTCAGAAACTGCTAAGATATTATTTGATTTCCTTTTTTGTTTGGTCTTGGGCCACGCCCTGGTGGTACTGGTGACTGAGAGATCCAATCCAGGCTCAGTGACAAGGGACCACGTGCTGCCAGGGATTAAATTCTGGGCTCCTACTCAATGCCTCTTTTGCAGACCACAACACCCAAAAGGAGAGAGAGAACAAAAAGGAATGCCCTGCCATAGAGGCAGAGTGGGTTGGGGAGGACGGGGGTGGGAGGGATATTATCCATGGTGGTGGAAATGGTCTCTGGTGGAGGAATGGGTGTTTGATCATTGTATAGTCGAGACCCAAGCACAAAAATTTGTGGATCTACAGCTGTAACTCATGGTGTTTCACCAATAAAAAAAAAAGATTAAAAAAATAAAAAACTTTGGGCTCCTGCATGCAGGACATGAGCTGCTGCCAAGTGTAGCCACCCCCGTCCTTTATATATATAATGTATAGTTGTCCAAAAGTAATGATGTGCTTGCAGAATCAATTCTGCAGATGAAACATAAGCAACTTGTCCTTCTCTTAAGACTTTTCTATCCATATTGGTCTGAGAAGCTAAGAATGAGTAAACAAACAAACCATCTTTCTTTCTAGATCTTCATCTGCTGGTGGACGTGGCCTGCAAGCAGGAACACTTCCCAAAGGAGGAAGAATTAAAAGAGTGAGGCATGGATGGCAGACGGGACATTGTGCACAGGCTGTAGATGGAGGCAGATTTGCCTTGCACATCATACACTGTTGGGATTTTTTCAGTTCTGTTAAGGGGGAAAATGTTTTGTTAATTGAGAATTTTGTTAATTGAGAATTGGGAATTTGTTCTTTGCTACAGCTGTTCAGTTCTGATTATTTACCTTGACAAACTACTAAACATCTAGCAATCCCCCCTGAATCCTATCCTCCACTCTCCAGGCCTCCTGCCCTGTTTTTTTTTTGTTTGTTTGTTTGTTTTGTTTTGTTTTTTTTTGCTGCCCAGATCCCTTTTAAATTAAAGGCCTGGTCTTCTGTTACAGTCAAGAAGCTTCTAGAAACTGCTGCGTCTATGGTACTAGAGAATCATTTGTGTGTGTGCTGATTTGCCTTTTTGCCACTCTCCAATGGTAGTTGGCGCAGCCCCAGTGTGGAGTTCCGTCATTCTGTGTCAATTCCCAGTGTGATCCTCTTAGAGAAGATGTGTGAGAAACGAAAGATGTAAAGTGCCCAAGATCTCATGTCCAAATGGGTCAGGAATTCCAAGGCAAACACTCTAGGAAAGAGCTAATTTTCTAAGTGATTAGCCAGGAAATGCCCTTACTTCCTACCCAGCATTCTGTTCCAAGAGCAAGGCATCCGGACATAGACTATCCATCACCTCTGACAGGCTCCTGATTCTTTTATAATAATGGGAGTATTCTATTTTCATATCTTTTCTTTAATTTTGATAATTCATTGTCCTACATGGTAAGAAGGTTTTGTTAGCATAACACTTAAATGTCTTCTAAAGAAAAGTATTAACTTGTTTAATATATTTATGAATGCTGGTGGATTTTACAGTTTTGAAACTTTATATTTTTATTAATATTACAGGATAGAAGGATAAAGGATGAAAATGTAATATTTTAAGGGGAAATGTACAGTATGTAAACAGAAACATTAAGAGACTTAACAGTGTTTTCTTTAGATTTTTGCATTCAGTAAGTATAAATCCTCATCTGAATATGACATTGTGTGCAAATTTTGACAGAAACTGATTAGTAGTCACTTAACAGAAGCTATTCCTCGATTTTTAAAATAGTTTGTGACTGGATTAAGCTTCTGAAAGAATTTTAGGTGGTGAACTAGAGTATAGAATTTTTATCTTATCCCCCTCTGTAGGATTCTAAATTCAAGAAGTAGGGTTGTGGGACTGGTTTGGGGGAGGACTGTCTTGGATGTTCTTTTTTTTTTTTTTTGTGGTTGATTGCCTTACTTGCTCATCTGATGGCCACAAGAAACTTTCTAATTTATTGAATTCCATTTCAGTTTTCCCTACTAAACACTGCAGAAACAAAAGGAAAGCCTAGAAATGTGAAACTCATCTAAAAGAAAAGGCACTTAGTGATATGACATAAGTACTATGCTAACTACTATCGGTGCAGCAGTTTGTTTCTTAAATTGCATTGTGCCTTCCCAATGATGTAAAACTCTCAGAGTGTTACAAAGATAGTTTTTTTTTCTTATAGTGGGGTGGGGGGGAAGGTGGGGAAAGGATGAACTCTCTATCAGTCTGCAGTGAGTGACTCAGCTTAGATGGAAGTTGGTTCTGAAAAGTGACATGTTTGGTCCATCTGATTAGATTAGTTGATGTCCAGACAATGGACATTTATTCATCTTTGTTAGCAAGGTTTAAAAGATGAACAGATTATCAAGACTCCTATATCTTTTGACCAGACTATGTATTTTTGGCAGAGTATGTGAAGAGAAAGACCCACTTTCCAAATGAAGGGACTTTGCCTTTCTCTGTCATGTTGAGAAGCTGATATACTATATAGGTGATTTTCCTTCCCGTATATATGCCTTTCTTAGCTTTGTATATGTTGAAAGAAATAATATCTTTTAAGGAACATGTGTCAAGCAGGAACCTTGGCATGGATTTCAATGGTTTTAAGGCTTAATTAATGAAGTGCCTGTGTCAGCTTTCCAAAAAAATAAGTTTTATATAGGAATACAAAAGACCAAGGAGCTGGATCTCCTGCTTCACTCACATGTCTGCCGTCAACTAAAGCTATATTCACTGACTTGGGCAAAATGGCAAGAGATAAAATCTTTGTATGAATTAGCCGGCAGGGTCTGACATATTCTAACCAGGTTCTCGACTAGCACCTCAGTATTTCAGCACCTTGAATAAAGCACAAAGATAAATTTCAGTCAGTCAACAATAAAGTGTGTGTTTCAACTAGATTTGTTGTCTTGCTTACTTTTTGGTGATTTTTACTATTTCTGCTGTTTTATAAGTACCTTACCAAATAATTTGGCATGTACTTTTTACTATATGCTATTTTTACTCTTTAGTAAGTGCCTTACCCACTGTACTACCTCTCTGGCCCCTCAAGACTCCCAGCTTAATAATACAAATTATGATCTTCCCCATACCTCAGGGTTTTCCTCAGAAAAGGACAACCACAACTATAACTTTCTTCCCTTCTTTCTACTGAGTGTATGTATAAACTCTTATTTTTGGGTCTCTTAGTTCTTTTGCAAGGTTTTTGCTTGTTTTTTGGGCCACACTCTGATGTGCTCAGAGCTTAGTCCTGGCTCTGTGTTTAGTGATCACTCCTGGTGGGCTCGGAGGATCATATGGGATACCAGAGATCTAATCTGGGTCAGCATCATGCAAGGCCAGCACCCTACCTGCTCTGCTATTGCTCTGGCTCCATCTCTTGCAAGTTTTAAGCGAAATCGGTGAGATAAAATTTCTTGCAGAGCATTTTTTGTTTAACTGAGAATTTTTTTTGTATCAGATGTATGATACATATTTTATACTATTTATCTTACACTATTGTGTCATACATAAAATATCTAAAGCCATATAAAATACTAAAAAATTCAGAAGAATTAGTTTTATTATTTTGAGGGAAAGGGTCTTTAAATATCTGTTCTTGCAATATGTTCTTAAGGTCCAACAAATAGATAAAAGGTGTAAATTAATAATTTGCTTTAGAATTTCCCTTTCTGCTCTGGATTAGTTACTAGGCCTAATGTGCCAAAACTGTTCCCCCAATCTTTTTTAGGGGACCATCTGTTAAAGATGGATAGTACACTCATAGTTTTTGCTTTTAGAGACATTTTGTTACTTAATAATTATAACAAGCCTAGAGTACAATTGTTAACTCATTTTATAATCAAATAGAGGTTACTTTTACACTTAAAAAACTCAGCATGTGCTTGCTTCAGCAGCACATATGCTGAAATTGGAACATACAGAGATTAGCATGGCCCCTGAGCAAGGATGACACACAAATTCGTGAAGCATTCCATATTTTTACATGATTGCCACTCGGTGTCTTTTTTGCAAACCATAGCACTCAAAAGGAGAAAGAGAACAAAAGGGAATGCCCTGCCACAGAGGCAGGGTGGGATGGGTGGGATGGGAAGTGGGAGGGATACTGGGATCAGTGGTGGTGGAGAATGGGCACCGGTGGAGGGATGGGTACTTGATCATTGTATAACTGAAACCCAAGCACAAAAATTTGTAAGTCTACAACTGTACCTCATGGTGTTTCACTAATAAATTTTTTTTTAAAATTCTCAGCATAAAATTTTTCAGCTTAACCACTTTTAGGTCTACAGTCCAATGTGTTAGCCACTTTCAATGGTTTATTTTCAAAATTGGGAAGATTATTGGCAGCAGATGAGAAATAAAATGCTATCCAGGGACCAAGAAGATAGCTAAAGTGGTAGAATACATACCTGCCTAAAGTGTGAGGCCATGAGTTTGATCCCTGGTATTACATGGCCCTCCAAGAACCACCTGGTTGGCCCTTATGTCCCCTAAGCACTGCCAGCTTGCACGTCAGGACTTTGTATCCCTAGGAAAAGCCCCCAGACCCTTAGTAAAACTGGATGTGGCACCTACTGAAAAAATAACATGACCACAGTTAAATATGATATTGTAAAATAGAAATTTTATTGTATTCATTTTACTCGATCATCGATTTACTCGAGCAGGCCCAGTAACGTCTCCATTGGAGACTTTGTTGTTACTGTGTCTGGCATATCGAATACTCTCAGTAGCTTGCCGGGCTCTCCAAGAGGGGCGGAGGAATCACCATGCATTACAAAGTTACTCCTGATTGAGTTTCAAGCATACAATGTTCCAGTGTCAGTCACTTCACTGGTGTCCACTTCCATTTACAAATGTCCCTGTTTCCCTCCTGCCCCTCACCCCTCCGGCCTGCCTCTATTGCAGGTGCTTTATACTTCATTTCATCATCCCGTTCTCAAGAGCTCTCTTTCCTCTGCCAGTGTTGTATTGTACCCTCCCCTGACCTAATACCACCACCACTACCCTCTTCCCAGTGGCAAGCTTCCTATTGGGAACTAGTTCTCATACTTTTTGTTTCTATTGTCTTTGGGCATTTGTTATCTCCCCTATAATGTTTCTTAATATCCTGCATATGAGAGAGATCATTCTGTATCTGTCCCTCTCCCTCTGACTAACTTCACTCAATATGATACTCTCCAAATCCACCATGTAGCAGCAAATTGTATTACTTCATACAATCTTCTTAGAATTTTCTTATGGCCAAATAGTATTCCACTGTGTCTGTGTACCATCGTTTCTTTCTCTAGTCATCTCTTCTTGGGCACTTGTGTTGTTTCCAGATTCTGGCTATTGTAAATACCTGCAATGAATATATGAATGCAGATATCTTTTCTGCATTGTACTTTTGGGCCATTGAGATATGTTCCAAGGAATGGAATTGCTGGGTCATGTGGAAAATAGAAAATTTAGAAACATATTAGAAGGTTTGAATGTAGTTATAAGGTTACTAGAAGAGTTAGAGTTAATGAATGTGGTAACTAGCCACAGATTAGTTCTTCTTGCCTTCACTCAGCTCACTAAACTTATGTATTTTACCCCTTGTATTTATACTTCTTGTAATCTTGCATTGAGAGCATAGAGCTTATTTGTAGTATTACTTCATATCCCACAGATGTGAGAAGAAACTAACAAATTCCAGATCTTTGACATCAATTTAATTTAAAAGCTCCATACATGCAGTTTAGACAGAGCTGATGAAGGTAAGTTAGTGAGTGTTAAAGAAAAGCTTTACATTAAATGGACAGTGGCCTTGCAAGGAATCAGACATAAGAAAGGAGTAAATTCATCAGTACTCGAGCACAGGATTACTTTATTCTGGCTTTGTGCCTTTTATAAATACTAGAACCTGGAAGGAGCAGAAATTCCTCAGAATCTATAATTACAGAACCTTGTGTCCATGGGACTAGAGAGATAGTACAGCAGGTAGATGCTTACCGTTCATGCAGCCAGCCAAACCCAGATTCAATCCCTGGTATCCCATATGTCCCCCCCCCCCCCTCCAACCCCCGCAGCACAACCAGAAGTAATTCCCGAGTGCAGAGTCAGGAGTAATCAATGAGCATCACTAGGTGTTGCCCCAATACAAATGAACAATAAAAGAAACCTTTTGTCCACGATTTAGGGTTTCCTCATTTTTTTTTTTTTTGTTTCCTCATACCACCATCTATGCACTGTTGGGTGCAGAATCTGCTTAGCGCCCTGTTTGAAGGGCGCTAGTTTACACGTGGTGTTGGGCTAACTGGGAATGTACCGGAGAGTAAATTGGATGCAGTTTGGCAGTGGCTCAGTAGAGGGGGTAGAGGAGCTGAGAAAGGAGAGAGTGCAAAAGAACGAGTCCGGTTAAGTGTGCGCGCACCCAAGCCCTGAACCCTCGTCAGCCAGGAGGAGGAGGGGCGGGCTGGGGGGTGGTTGCCGATAACTGCTCCACCCTCACTTTGTGTCAGCAGGTAGAGAGCGTGATTGCAGTCCCAGGGGAGGGAGTCAGAGCTAGAACACCAATTACAAACCACAGGCTTCCTCCTCAAGGGAGTAGGTCCAGAATTGTCTTTCTGGAAGGGAAGCACACGAATCCTTCTGAACTTTCCAAGTCCATCCATGATTCAGAGATATTGCCTTCTCCCCCTGGAATTTTCTATGTTCCTGATAGTGAATTGTTGCTGATGTATTTGCTACTTTCTTCTTTACTCTTTCAAGATCTCAACATTTTATATGCTGTTCGGGGAGAAAAAGAACTTTCGTTAGAAAGGTGATTTCAGAGATGATTTTGGATCCTCTATAAGTATTTTTAAAGTTCTTGGGGGACATTAGCTCTCACCCTGGAGTAAGTTTCTGCCTTTGACCTGCATGGATTATTTTTTCAGGCTGTGGAATTTTTCGGCACCTACCTACAGTGTGGGGCACTTGGTTTGGTTGCAGAGGAAGAAAGTGCAAGAATGAGCTGTACTTGGTTAAGCAGTTGAAATCATTTTTTTTAGCAGGATCTATAAAGGCATAATTGAATTTGCTCATCCCCGTGGATTCCAGTGGGCCCGACAGCACAACAGGTTTGCAGATTTCTTTCAAAATTCTTTTTAACTCCCTCTGCCTCAGCAAAAGGAAAGAATCTATGTAACAGGTTCATGTTCAATTGTTTCGCTTTTCAGCATTTATTCAAAAGACTTTATAATTTTTCACTTGTCCTCTGAACACAGAGGCATTATATTTTGAAGTGCATTTATGTTTACTGAAGTGTGTACATTTTTAAAATCAAGGTAAAATTGTATTTTATTAAGACTCAAATTCTCATAATTTGATAGCACAGAGATAGCACAGATCTGCTCAGGCTTATTTTCACTTCTTCAGGACCTGTAGACTAATCACTTTCCCGCTTTCCCTATCTTTTATTCTCCACCCCCTCAAGGAGTTTGAAAATGTGTTGGAAATAGTCCTTGGTTTTACTTATAAAGTGAGAAAATCACCGATTATAAGATTCAGATTTTAATTTTCAAAGCATCTCATGGGAAATCAGAATGCTTGGCATTCTCATATGGGAGAATAAAAGCTGAAGTCCCCATGACAGGAAAATAAAGATATAAATTTTAACTGCAAAAAATAACTTCAGAAATTCGCCTTTTCAAATGTTCTAGTTATGAAAGTTTAAAAAACTTGTTTGCTCAGGATTATCCTGTAATATGTGACTACATATAAATTAGCACCTAATTTATAGGCAAACTTGGAATACTGAAAAATAGTCTATTTTTAAGTTCATGAGAAACACTATAAATTCATAACTATCATGAATTTTATATGGACATAGAACTTTGGCTACCCTGAAATGCAGTTTAATGTGGAAACTTTTAGAATGCATGTTGTAGCATCTTTGGACCTCTCTCAAGGTGTGGCCTAAAATGTTGTTCCTCTCCTCCCCCCCTTAAAAAAAAATCTCACCTGTTGTCTTTAGTTTTTCACCATTGATGAATCTCATGCCTTTTCAAGGACTGTCTCTTCATCTTCTGAATTGGAGTTTTTCACTCTCGCCTTCAATGCCTGGCCTTAGTCATTTATTTCGCTTTGTTTTGTTCATTAACATTGGGTTTAGTGGCTCGGCAACTTGATGCATATGGAAGAACAGAACCAAGTGATCCGACATAGTAACAGTTCAGGATGTGACAGCCAATCTCAAGCAAAGTTGAAAATTCCAAAGAGAAGCGGTGAGACTGTCCTTAATCATAGTGAAGATGGGAGACGATGGATGATATACCTGCCACAGAAGTGGGCTGAAGATACCTTCTCTGCCAGATCAGGAATGCCACCTGTTCTTGGGAATATACTTTAGAGAAAGGAAGGGACAAAACACCAACTTGGCTTTCTGAAACTGAAGCATAAATTTTCTTTTCTTCCATTTGTCTGGATCTAAGAACCTGATTTGGTATTAGCTCGTGGAAGCAGTATGTATGGCCGAAGTGCGTTGCTGCAGCTGGTAGCATGAGTGGTGGCCACCAGCTGCAGCTGGCTGCCCTCTGGCCCTGGCTGCTGATGGCTACCCTGCAAGCAGGCTTTGGACGCACAGGACTGGTACTGGCAGCAGCAGTAGAGTCAGAAAGATCAGAGCAGAAAGCAATTATCAGAGTGATCCCCTTGAAAATGGACCCCACAGGCAAACTGAATCTCACTTTGGAAGGTGTGTTTGCTGGTGTCGCTGAAATAACTCCAGCAGAAGGAAAATTAATGCAGGTAAGAATAACTATTATGTTTCTCTTTCCATCTGTTTGAAATAGACTTTTCTTCTTTGGATGACTCCAAATCAAATAGCAAGCATTAGGGGCATTTTTTTAGTTTTCTGTTCATCCCATCTTTTTAGGATATTGCCTTATTGGCATTCTAAAGCAAATTCTTATTTTTGTATACAAAAAGGAAACATGCAAAATCCTCTATATTAGAAGATCATCTGCTTATTTTAAAGTCTAATATTACATTGCATTTTGAATATACATAATGAGATATTCCTTTGTAAGTGATATAATCTGGACACTTTTGGGGCTTGTTTTTAATTGACCTAAAGATTGCATTTTTGAATCTTATTTAAATTTGAAGAGAGCACTATGGAGATTGATTTTAATGATCAGCAGTAACCTGAAATTTGAAGCCTATTTGATCACAGTGTCACTTTTAAAATTCAGTCAAGCTTGAATACTATGTCTGGCTCTATACCACGTGTGGCACCCTATTGCTAAGCCCAAAATGGAGAGTACTGGATTACAAAATGGACACAAGAGGCTAGTCTGGCTTTCCGATCATTTTTTCTTGTCTGTACATAATTTTACTATTTTAATAATTCTTTAACACATTTTATTGAACCACAGAGTTTTTCAGACACAGTTCCTTAGCTTCTCAGACTGTGAATTTTCCCTGTAACTCGTGCAGAGCCCACTCTTCATGTGTTGAATTTATGAACCAACGAACCACAGCGTTTCATAGTTGCATTGCTCATTTCCCTTGCAAATATAGAGCCTGGAGGGCTGTACCTTTTCTAATGTGACATTCTTGTGTCCTAATCCATAAAATTATGTTTTGATTGATTAAATTTTGTTTTATAAAAGAATGCTTTTATAGATGTATACAAATTTAAATGCTGCTGAATATGATTTATTTCTACATCCAAGTTCAGATTTTTATTTTATTTATTTATTTAAATTTTTATTAATGAAACACCATGAGGTACAGTTGTGGACTTACAAATTTTTGTGCTTGGGTTTCAGTTATACAATAATCGAGTACCCATCCCTCCACCAGTGCCCATTCTCCACCACCAATGATCCCAATATCCCTCCCATCCCCCCACCCCTCCCATCCCACCCCACCTCTGTGGCAGGGCATTCCCTTTTGTTCTCTCTCTCCTTTTGGGTGCTGTGGTTTGCAAAAGAGGCATTGAGTGGCAATCATGTTCCGTCTGTAGTCTACTTTCAGCATGCATCTCCCATCCTAGGGATTTTTATTTTAAAGTATGAAAAAAGCCAAAGTGCTATATTAATTTGAAATGCTCTATATTTAGAGAAGGTGACAAAATGTAACAAATTTTAGGCTCTTTCCAAATACAGATTGTTACATACATGAGTTAGTGACTGTTCATAATCACTTCCAATAGGCAATGCTTTGCAAGTGGGTTAAAGTGGAAATTGAAGAAGAAATGGGTGAAATTGCTATTTAGGAAAATAAATAAAAGAATGTATCTGGAAAAAAATTGTGTAAGAACTTTTGGATAAGAGGCTACTCAATGTGGGTCTGTGATAATATTAGGAAAATTTAAAAATTGAAATTATAATTCATTTTGAATACAACTGGGAGGGAAACTTTCTTTTAAACCTGCCTTGCTAATATCCAGGAGCCTGAGGTATGTGCTCCATTTAAGTTTTTTACCCTAAGTAATTTTCTATAGGGCCATATTTTGATTTCTGAATGCTTTTGGAACAAGTACTAAGCTTATTAGTGTCCTGTGGCAGCATGTTCAATTGGCAGATTATATGCTACATAAAATAGTGCCCTCTTTGATTTTATTTTTGTTATCTCCTGTTATCATAAAGCTTTACATAAGGTTTTTGTGTATTTATAAAAGGAAAATGTATACAAAAGGCATTAGCTGCCATTTTTCATTCATTCACTTGTCAACATTAGATTTTACTATGTTTTTCTCATTTTGATAAATCTTGCTACTTTTAAAAAAATGCTTTTCTCTTAGAACCCCTCCGTATGCCTTAAATAGTATTTTTTTTCTTGGTGAAGAGGGAATTTTTATATATTTTTTATTGATTATAACCTATAGGCTTTATAGGAGGTAGTTTGCATCATTGGAAATTTTCTGTGTTTGTTCAAGTTATGTCTTTAGCTATCCATGTAGCTTTTTCTAGTCCCTTAAGTTTGTACACTAACCTAATTATTAGTCTCTGGAGCCTTTCAGTATGGGTTCTGATTTGTTTCTATTAATAAATTTATACTTCATAATAGTTTTTAAATTTTCTTACTAATCTTTTAGAAGAGACTTTATTTTTAAGAAACAAATACAGCCTTTCAAACAATATCCATCAGTTTTTCTTTATCAATTATTTGGTTACAGTTCTTTCAAAGAATTGTAGCATGTTAGGGACACTTGGTTTACACATCTAGAATCCTTGCTGTTTTTGTTCCTTATCAGATTACACTGCAACTCAGGGTTACTCAACTGTGGTTAACTAGCCTCCCATTTACCTAAAGTTCTGTTAATCTCTCCTAGAATTGTGCTTTGCTGTATTTTGGCCTTCTTGGTGGGTAGCTAAACCCTAGTCTCAAAATCTGAAGATAATTTTCTCTTTTGACTTTGAGCAATACATATATATCATATATATGTGTGTGTGTGTATTCCTCAATAAATTATATATAAATTACACTATTAATTATACTAGCTGAATGAATTAGTGAATTCTCCTTTCTCCCTATGACTTATACTCCCTATGAATTATGCTAGCTGCCTGTGAAGTGTAATGGCCTCCAAAGATACATTCGGGTTTTTGTAAAATTGGGAAATCTGAAACTGTCTGAATAGCAGTTTAAGAAATTGCCATGTTGTGGTGTCTGAAGTTCCCAGAGAGTCTCATGAAATCTGTTATTTCTTTCCATTTTTTTGCTCAATTAAATTAAATTAGGATATATCTGATTTCATAAGGGCTGAATGCAGAGGAGTTTCATTTGTATTACTATTTTTATTTTCCTTAGGCGAAGATAGGCATTTCTTGACTTTATAACTCTGGTTTTTTTAATAAAGCATACCATAAATTGTCTCTAAAATAAGTTTGCTTGCCTCAACTTTATCTGATGATGGTTGTATAAACAAGGGCACTGAAAACCAGACCCTTGCGAATTTTTCTTCTGGTTCTTTCTGCTTACCCTTTGTGCTTAGATTTCTCTTTATATCTATTTTCCAGTTATATCCAGTTATATCCATTTTCCAAGATGTGTTAAAAGCTTTACATAGTAATATTCCTCTTAAAGTGCTAGAAGAAAGTCAGAATAAAAGAGGCAGTGTTACCTGTGCAGGTTTCCCTTCATTTTCTTGAGTCTTTCTTTTCCATTTCAAAATTCCCCATCTTAGACCTGACCAAGTTACATTGCTTTCTTTACTCTTTTGCCCAAGAACTACTTTTTTTACATTACCATATCATTTGAGTTTCAGGTTTGCCGCCACTGTCTTTGATAGATTTCCCCTGTATCTGACCAAAAATCCTTCTATCTTCTCCCTTGTATCTTATACTTTCCCTTTTGTTTTCTGCTATTTTGATCTGTATTCCCCTCAAAATCCATGTACAATGATAAATATTACCTAAACTTTTGTGATAATTATTTTGATATATATACATATACATACATACATGCATACATACAAACACATTATACACACACAGTCATCATGCTCTATACCTTAAAATGTCAGTTCTATCAGAATCCTTAAAAAGATAGCCTTCTCTTCTAAAAATTGTTAAAAGGGGTTGTATTTTAAAAAGAAAGTCTTTCATCAGAGGTTATTAAGGAGAGAAACTGGGATAACCCCCAAAAATACATATCAAAGAAGCTATTTGGTGACTGAACGATAGTGATTTATAATTTGTAGCTACTTTAATTTTTAATTTGAGTGTGTTCTTTTCCCCAGTCAGGATTTATATATAATTATAGATGGAACTTGATTTATATATCATTACTGATGGAAAATGTACTGGATTTTATGCATAATCTAATTGTTCCGTTTTCTGGGTAAAAATTTGTGCTTCTGTTACTTTCAGTAATGTTGCTGCTACCACTTCTAAAACCCATCGCAGTCCTATTTTCTGGCTTCTTATTTTTAATGTTACTTAGCGTAGTAGCCCTCGCTTTTCTTCCCTGAGCCAAAGAATCTTAGCATAGCAGAAAGGAGGTCGCCAGTTCTTTAACTGCCACACTCTTCCTGCTCAGCTGGTTGTCCTGGATTTTCTTAGACTCCAGGATAAAGTTATGATCGAGATTAGAATGTACTGCCCTGCGGCAGTAGATCAACAATGGGAGCTGTGGTAGTTCAGCATTTGGCCAGTAGCAGCGAACGCCTCCTGGACAAGTCCCCCCTTGCTCCAAGTCTCTGCTTGCCTCTTAATTTACCTGTTAGTCAACACAGTTATCCCATATTTGCATCTTTTTACTTTAGTCAGGATCTAGAGTGAATTGTTTGGGGAAGAAGAGAAAACTTTGTCATTAAAGTTTGGGCAAAGCCTGAGAGACAAACAGTAGTTGACCAAGTGAACAAACAATAACTCAGGGGACTTGACCTTTTGCTCTGGCCCTTCCACTAACTGATTGTGTGATTTAAGACAAAACAGTGTTTACTAAACTAGACCTCAGTTCTCCTGTCTGTTAAACGGAAGCACTGAGAGATAATATTGCCCAAAGTACTTCAACTCTTCACTTTAAATGTACTTTGTTCACTGGATCCTCAGAATAACTGCATGACAGAAGTACAGTACTTTTATTTTTCACATTTTGTAGCTAAGGAGACAAATTATCTTCCAAGATCATGTAGCTAGATGGTGGCATAACTAGAAACTGAACTCTGGAGCCCAGGCTTGACCTGCTCTAAAATTCTTACATCTAAGATGCTACAAATGAACAGCCCACTAGTGGAGGAGGCTTTGTACAAATGATTCATTTATTTCCTGAGCATAAATAATTCTTAGGTTGAT